GCGATAAGGACTAAAATCTTCTAAGATTTTAATTTATGGCTATAGTAGATGAAAACCCAATCATGTAGAATGAATGGACCAAGTACATTATAGGTATTATGTGTAACTGGCAGCAGGTATGCCCGTTATCCAATATAGAGTATTGGAGATAAAGGTTTAATTTTGGAAGTGAAACAAGACAATGATTATCTCTAGGCAGGAAAAATATTTATGGCTAGCAGATGTTGTAATTATGAGAGACTCTTCATTTTGAATCAAAATGAGAATAGATTTTCAGTGGCCTAAGGTACAAAGTAGAGTTCTGTGGAGAATGGCATGCATCTTGAGAATGCTCTGCAGATTGGCTAAACCGTGGGAGATTCACAGTAAACACAGAGCACAGTTAAACATTTTAAATTTATTTAATTCAAACCAGTTCAAAAAATATTTATGAACTGGTTTAAAGGGTCGTTTATACACTGGAGATTAATAGACTACTATGAGTAAGTCTTGACAGTTTGTTGTTTTGAGCTTTTTGGGAGATGCAGGGTTGGAATTAGCAGAATGGCATAAGTACTAGCATAAGAACATTGTACAAAATCTTATTTAATTTCATAGATAAAGGCATTGAGGCATTGAGGTTGGAAGGGGAGTGGTTGTATTAAGCAGGTTACTTTTGGTGAAAATGTGAAGTGTTTGAGAAATAATAATGGACAAATGAGAGACAGTGGCTTTGGAAATGTGAGAAAATGAATGGGGAATTACCTTTCATGAGCAGTCCACTTTAGCATAAGTGGGAATGTGGTAAAAATATTATAGGATTTTGAACTTGTATAACTGAGAAAGCAGTGGAGTATTACTGTTCGTTGTTCACCCTGACTGCACTGTGAAAGACCTTACTGACAGCAAAGGTGGTTCACGATGTGAATGCTAGGGCTGGTTATGAACTTTTTCATTTGCTCAATATATAGGAAAGATTTTTCATTCTGTTTTTTCTTTTTTGTCAGTTGAAGCAGGGGCTTGCAAATGCTGCTGTTTTTCAGTACAAGACTGTTAAGTGCTGAAATACAAATCACTTCTACCTTCAACAGATTTAGCCAGTAGAATTAAATAAAAAGGAAGCACATTCTTAAAAATCCTAAGATGATAAAAGTTTTTTATATTGTGCTAGCTATAGATAATGATTTCAACCTGTATTCTAGCACTGAGAGGGGACATTGATGGATCAAATATCTTTTCTGTGTTATCAAAGTTAAAATAAATGTGGTCATTACAAGATGAGGGAATAGAGTCTGTTCAAACAAAGGGTATATTCGGAGAAAAGCAGAATTCTCTCCCTGTTGAAGGGAAAGTGACTCCTATTTTCTACCTCCCTTTTACTCATCCTCTGCTTAGGTAGAGGTATATCCATATACATTTATAAACCACAGTGAATCATTTGATTTTGGAATACAGGTAGTATAAAATGTGTCCCAGTGTTCATACACATCATACATTAGATATGCCTGGTAGTGTTCTAATTTTACAGTTGTCAAAAAATAATGTTTGAGCCTACTGGCTATGTGTGAAGCTCCAATGTTCAGATTGCAAAGAAACTTAGAATTTTACTAATGAAAGCAAATACATCCAAAGACATTTTTTCAGAGAACAAAAAGAGAAACTAGCAGGAAAGAACAGAATCACTGCAATATCATCAGGCTTTTTCATATATGTAGAATCTTTATTCAGTTTTTTTCAAGTACATCTTATCTTCATTTACTGTACTTTATTTTTTGTGAAGTTTTAAATTTATTTCTTCTATATGGTTAGTGATATTTAAAATTTATATTTAATCAAGTTTATCAGAAAATTATGTTAGAAAATATGATGAGGCTTTACTTCTGCCATCTATATTGTCTGCTATTATCTAAAGATAATTGTTTTCTCTTTTTAAAACAATTTGAATAGGGATTTTATGTCATAATTTTCTTTTACTTAATCTCTTTTCTTGTATTATACTTTAAGTTTTGGGACATATGTGTAGAACGTGCAGGTTTGTGGCATAGGTATTACATGTGCCATGGTGGTTTGCTGTGCCCATCAACCCTTCATCTACATTAGGTATTTCTCCTGATGCTATCCCTCCCCTAGCCTCCTATCCCCCAACAGGTCCCAGTGTGTGATGTTCCCCTTCCCGTGTCCATGTGTTCTCGTTGTTCAACTCGCACTTTTATCTACCATAACCTTGAAATTGTCTTATGCATTCATTTGTTTGGATGTTATATGACTCTTCCACTTTAATATAGCCTCCATCAGGACAGAGATTTTTTGCTTCTTTTTTTTTTTTTGAGGCAGTCTTGCTCTGTCACCCAAGCTAGAGTGCAATGGTGCGATCTTGGCTCAATGCAACCTCCGCCTACCGGGTTTAAGCAATTCTCCTGCTTCAGCCTCCCAAATGGCTAAAACTACAGGCATGCAGCACCTCGCCTGGCTAATTTTTATACTTTTAGTAAAGACAGAGTTTCACCATGTTGGCCAGACTGGTCTTGAACTCCTGACCTCAGCGTATCTGCCCACCTCAGCCTTCCAAAGTGCTGGGATTATAGGCGTGAGCCACAGTGCCCAGCATGATTTTTGCTTCTTTTATTCAGTGATATTTGCCTTGTAGAAGGCGCTCAATAAATATTTGAATAAAAGAATAGGTATCATTTATTTTGAAACTAGTTATGACACTTGTTAAAAAGAATACGAGCAATTAATGGTAATGAAAATTGCTAATCCTAGAAATTTTAAATTTAAACTAGTTAATATGGATATAGATCTTGCATGTAATAGGTATTTTATAGAAAAAGTCAGTGACTATACATTTAAGAATTATGCCTTTAATTTTATTTTTCTTCTTTTATCTTGTCTGTCTGCATGATTATGAGGTGATCCTGTGAGGCTATGGAATAAAATTAATGAAAAAAAACGCATAGTAGAACAGCAGAGGTGACATTGATAATAGGGGATATGGGTGAGTGGGTAGATGTATATTTATAGGCATATTTCCTTCCATTACGGAAAATTGAGTGAAGATTTTCTTACATTTTTGCCTGCCTTTTGTCATGGTACTTTCAGAAGTAGCAATTGTTTGATTCTTTTAGGACATCAAATATTTATATGTATAAAGAATTATTTATTTTATGAAATGCTTTAATCATATAGAAAAGTTAAGACAATGTAGTGAGTACACAGGAATACAACACCCATATTGAAAACAAATATAATGAATATCCAAGTACCTACCACCCATATTAAGCTATATGATAATTTTACTTTTCGATTCAGTTTTTAAATCAGAAGTATAACATTTCAGTTTAAATTGAAAATCTCTCAACCTTCTCCAAACATAAGTTTACTTTCCATGAGAGTGCAAAATAAAGCTTCTTTGAAATTATTTAAACTCATGTACCAGTTTAAATAATTTCAAAGAAGCTTTAAAATGTTTATGAGTGAATAATTCAATTTTTTTTCAAAAAGAAATTGTTTGAGAATAGACAATGTACTGTTTGCCAGATGAACACTTGCAATTTTGTACTGTGGGAAGTTTGTCAGGTGCCTATGCTCCATATATTTATATATTTTTTAAATTGTGCAGCATTCTGTACAAAGAATTTCAGTGCCAAATTGTTAACATTGGTTACATTGGGTGGAGAAGGTTGGATCATGGTAGAATTATACATTCTGAATTATTTTGGTAATATTTAAAATTATTATAAGGAAACATTGTTTCGAAATAATAAAAAGGATAAATGTTAAACATAAATATTTTTCACTTATCTTCTTTTTTTTTTTTTTTTTTTGAGACGGAGTTTTGCTTGTTACCCAGGCTGGAGTGCAATGGCGCGATCTTGGCTCACCACAACCTCCGCCTCCTGGGTTCAGGCAATTCTCCTGCCTCAGCCTCCTGAGTAGCTGGGATTACAGGCACACGCCATCACGCCCAGCTAATTTTTTTTTTGTATCTTTAGTAGAGACGGGGTTTCACCATGTTGACCAGGATGGTCTCGATCTCTTGACCTCGTGATCCACCCGCCTCGGCCTCCCAAAGTGCTGGGATTACAGGCTTGAGCCACCGCACCCGGCCCACTTATCTTCTAAAGTGTGGTATCAAACATGTCATTTCACAATTGATGTAATACAAAAAACATTTGCAATTATGTGTGCATATATATATGTATATCTCATATATATATATATATATATATACACCTCTCATTCACATGCATACATTTTACAAATATATATCACCAATCAAATATGTACATCACTTACTTATATTGCTTTTTCAAGTATCTTCATAAAATTTCTAAGGAAACCATGTTTCCTCTGTTAAATCATGCTATTTGTGATCATTTGAAGGAGTGCTATTATTTTTTATTTACTTTCTTAATAGAGAATGTTCTCTTTCTATCTCAGCATGGTTAACAATTTGTATTTAAAAAATTGGCAGTGTATTCATAATTTAGCAATCCTACTCTGAGTGGTATATCATCTAAAAATTGATTATGAGCCATCAATAGAGAAAATAACTCTCATAACTTGTTTATGGTATCTAACACGTTTTATTCCCATAGATAGAAAACCACATATAATCTAAGAAAAAACAAGTTTTATGAAAGCTTGTTAGAAAAAACATAAAAGTTGCTTTTTCTTAAATTATACGTGGTTTTATAATTCTTGGAATAATCAAAATTTAAGTAAATCAAAGGCAAAGAATAACAATTACCATTAGCAGAAACTGAAAGCTATATTTTGATTTTGAAAATATAGCTTTATATTTTATTTAAAATATAGGGTACTTTAGTCCCTGAAGTTGATTTACTATATTTTAATATCATTAAAATAAATTTTAATATCAATTGATTAAGATACTTTTCTCTATTTTCTGCTTTGAATAATGAGAGAGAGTTTCAAATGGCAGCATACATGTTTTGAAAACATTTTTGTATTTTTACAGTATTATTGTCTTGGTGACCATTGTTTTATATTATTTCTAGGTAAAAGAGTGGCTCTGTTTGAACTGTCAGATGAAAAGAGCTCTAGGCGGGGATCTGGCTCCAGTTCCATCATCACCCCATCCCAAACCGAAGACTGCACCTGTTACCTCAACATCAGCAGTGAGCAAATCATCCCCACAGTCACAGCAGACCTCCCCGAAGAAGGATGCTGCCCCAAAACAGGATGTCTCCAAGGCACCTGAGCCTAAAAAGCCACCACCACTAGTGAAACAACCAACCCTTCACGGCTCTCCTTCAGCCAAGGCCAAGCAGCCTCCTGAGGCAGATTCTTCATCTAAGCCAGCCCCTCCCAAAGAATCTTCTGTCCCATCTGAGCAGGACAAGGCCCCTGTCGCTGATGATAAACCAAAGCAGACCAAGACAGTAAAGCCACCCACAGACCTTGTATCTTCATCATCAGCAACAACAAAACCTGATATTCCAAGCTCCAAAGTACAGTCACAAGCTGAAGAGAAAACAACCCCTCCTCTAAAAACAGACTCTGCCAAACCCTCACAAAGTTTTCCACCAACAGGGGAAAAAATCACCCCAGTTGACTCTAAAGCCATACCTCGACCTGCATCAGATTCAAAAATTATTTCACATCCTGGGCCTAGTTCAGAGAGCAAAGGTCAAAAACAAGTTGACCCAGTTCAAAAGAAGGAAGAACCCAAGAAAGCACAAACCAAAATAACTCCTAAACCAGATGCCAAGCCAGTGCCAAAAGGGTCACCAACACCCCCTAGCCCACGACCTACCACTGGCCAAACTGTCCCCACACCTCAACAGCCCCCAAAGTCTCAGGAGCAGTCAAGACGTTTCAGTCTGAATCTGGGAAGTATTACTGATGCCCCCAAATCACAGCCTACAACTCCTCAAGAGACCGTGACTGGGAAACTCTTTGGGTTTGGAGCATCAATCTTCAGCCAGGCATCAAATTTAATTTCCACTGCAGGCCAACCTGGACCTCATTCACAAAGTGGACCAGGGGCCCCAACGAAACAAGCCCCTGTCCCTTCACAGCCACCTACTTCGCAAGGGCCACCCAAATCCACAGGTCAAGCACCACCAGCGCCTGCAAAGAATATACCTGTGAAAAAGGAAACAAAAGCCCCAGCAGCTGAAAAATTAGAGCCCAAAGCTGAACAAGCTCCAACAGTAAAACGAACAGAAACAGAAAAAAAGCCTCCACCTGTTAAGGATAGCAAATCTTTAGCAGCTGAGCCTCAAAAGGCTGTCCTTCCCACAAAACTGGAGCTTTCTCCCAAACCAGAATCAACCTGTCCTCTCTGCAAAACTGAACTCAACACAGGTTCTACGGATCCTCCTAACTTCAATACTTGCACTGAATGCAAGAATCAAGTGTGTAATCTTTGTGGATTTAACCCTACACCACATCTGACTGAGGTAAGCAATACATGTATTACATATGGATGTGAGTCTATGCGTTTATTTTGAAATGTTTGGGTGCCAAATATCTGAGCAAAAAATACATTTCTAGTGAAGAAACTAAATTAATATCTTAGAAGTTTTAATTAACTACTCCCAGCTTACCATCTTACTAAGAGTTCATGTTATTTGTACTTTCCTGGGTTAATGTACCATAAGTAAGAAGATGAAGTAAGCTAAGTTAAATGAATATCTTAATTATTAAATTAATATAACAATTATTCACTCATTCATGAAATAAAGACCCTCAGCTTTGAGTTGGTTTTCACATGTAAACTCCAAATAAAGGTTTTAATGTATTATTCCCATCTCTAATCCTTCCAGTCTCTGCAATACATTAATACAAGAAGTTTGGTTGAATATGCATAAACACCATAAAATCTATTATGTTAAGAACAGTTAAAAACTGTTAAGAACTTTGTGTAAATTAATAATTTTACCTACTAGAAAATAGTGATTCAAATATATCTAGGCTTTTTTTAAATTCTGTTGGGAATATCATCTGGCATCCATATGAGATGACACTGTACTAGGAACTGTGGAAAGAAAAAAAAGATATATGGATTTCTGTAACTAATGTGAAGTATTTTTATGGGATGATAAGAATATTTTCTCTGCAGTGTAAATGACTAAAAAGCAGATGGTGAATTTCTAATACAGTTATAAAAGAAAGAATCTATTAACATTAATAGCATGTTAGGGCTATTACAATATCTGGATCTTGAGAGATTGGGGGTTAAATAATTACTGCTGTCTTAGATAAGTAACAACAATGTTTTAATAAACAGTCTGGGAATTAATCTAAATAATTGTTCCAAGATTTTAAATAAATAAAAAATACTTAGGAATAATTTCACTCCACTGTCCTTGATTTTGTTATTCATTATGATGGTAAAATTGAACAGATTTTAGCATCTATATAAAATAAGCTTTAGAGTTTGTTTCTGGTGATGTTCTTGAGTTAAATATTTTCAAAAAATATAGAAAAATTTGTTTTACTTTAAAAAGACATTTGTCTGCTTTGATCTAATTAACACTATATGAAAATGTTGTTGCTACAAGTTTAGATTTTTTTTTCTCTTTAGCTGTGATGAATAATTTTAACTAAGATTCATTTTAAAGGGACATAAAGTTTTAGTTTTTCTCAGCACTTCATGAGTGGTAACAACTACCATTATTACTTACAGTGTTTTGGATTCAATGTAAAAGCAAAATAAAACAAACCTTAAATTAAAAAAAATACTTTTAGAAGAGTGGTTTTTGATTGTGAATTTATGAGGGAAAAATTTTCCCCAATACAATTGTATTTATTTTATATATTAAAAAAATTGTACTTTAATGAGGATTCTTATCATATCAACACAATGCAGTTAAAAAGCAAACTTCGTTTCTTAAAACAAAACTGTACTTTTTGCATTTAAAGTATATTTTTACATAGTAAAAAGCGCAGGTTGAGCACTATAATTTAAATTTTACATATATGTTTATGGGTATGCATACATATATATACATTTAGATTATAGTAATTGTTAGAATTTTGTCAATATTTGGAAGTCTGTAATGACAGTTCCTTGGGTAGAAAGACAATAAACCTTCCAGGGAAATTTTTGATTTTCTATGTGTTGGCAAATTATACTTTGAAAGTGGTAATTTGGAAAGAAGATTTCTTGAATGAAGCAGAGAATTACCAAGAACATGTGTGGAATTTCAGTCCTTTGAATAGTTTGAAATCTAAATTGTCTCAAGTATTTTGATAGGTTAGATGAGGTCATACTTCAAATACGGTGAGTGAACATATTAGACAGTCAGTCATTGTTCAGATTTTTTTGCTCTGTCGCAACTTCTTTGAATTTAGAAGATTATGTTTCAGAAGGGAAGAAAATCTAACAAAAGCAACTAGTATTCCTTGCTCACCTTGAGTATGCTAATGTACATGAAGTTTTCAGTTAGTATAAGGTCTTGATGACCTCTAGTTTCTAGGTAAAGTTCACCTGGCATCAAGAATCAATGAAGGTTAGCTGAGTTATTACCTGTTCAGGTAGTCTCTGTCATTACTCCCTAGGACTTTGGAGGAATGGCAAAAGAAGTTGGTTGAAAAGAGTGGCACAATGTGCTTGCATAGCTATGTGTACATGTGTGTATATACATTTGTACACACACACAGATATATATATATATATATATAAACATATATACATATACCTTTATGTATAGATGTATATGTATCCAGAAAACTAAAAATACTATTAACAGGTGTAATTCATGGAGAAATTGCAGTGTTCCTGCTAATAAATCTTCATTTCTCTCAGGAGTTAGGAAAGCACCTCCTAGATTTTTGTTTTGTGTCTATGTTTTCTTTATTCTGCTTCTAATATGTTTCTTGTGATCTAATATTTTCTGCCTGGCTGGTTAGTACTATACTTCCATGCCAGTTTCAGAGAGAACATTCAGAAAATACTCAGACTTTATGCCTGAAGTGTAAATAAGTGGCATTCCCTCAAGAAAGAATTCAATAATTTCATTTATTTTCTAATAAAGTATGTCCAACTCTCTAATATAAGCCTCTGCTTCTCCTATACTGAACTCTGGGAGACAGAACATTTTTCCTGCTGGTGCCACCCTGACCTCTTCTCCTTTTGACTGTTCTATTTTTCTGGTTGTAAGAAGAGTTCATCATATTTTGTCATTGGTTACAGAGCTGTAGATGGTTTCCCTCTTTCCCCCTCATTAATCAAACACACCTGTCGCTAAGGTTGTTTCCTGTTTCCTACGCAACACCCACGACTGCACCCAAGGAGTGCCAACGGCTCCCTGCAGGCCCTGGGGTGCAGCCAGATCTCAGTCTAAGCTTTACTGTTTAACTGACTGATGCCCTGTTTGTATAAATGGTACTATAATCCCTTATCCTCTAACAGCAAGAGACCATTCTTTAGGCTTTAATCTCTGTCAAGTCAGGAAATACCTTGTCTTGGAAGGAGTTTTTAAAATAGCAATAGAGCTTTCTTAAAAAGCTAGTCTTACAGAATTTGAAAACATGCTGAGAAAAACAGCTTAGTTGGCAAACAATTTACCTAGTGAATTTTGTTGATCTGGTAATCAAATTCAAAATGAGTCAAAATTACTCATAATGGATATTTATTTTATTGTTGTTACCACCCTTTTCTAAGCTAACTTTTTACTGTGAAAATAAGATTTAAAAGTAAATAGGTTTCCTCATGTTTGAGGAAATCCTGGAGTCATAATTTTGCTTCCTTAGCAAGATGATTACTCATGGCCTAAATAATGTAGGGATTTCTAGGAGATATTTGTCACTGTGCAACAAATGAGTCTTTTAAGCTAAGACCCAGTGATGTAACTGAGATTTTTTTTGATATCTTTACTCTACCAGGGTGGCTTCCACATTTCCCACTAAATACTCAAAAATGGCCTAGTGGGAATGTCCTGCATTTCTTAGTTTGCAAACACATATTTTCCCTTTACTTTAATAACCATTACTTAATACATTCAAAAACATATATTTAATATTCAAAAGCATTTACATACACAAACAGACACTAAATAAAGTCTTATCAATAAGGAGAAATCAATAAGGAAAAAGGAATTCTACTAATAATTAGTTTCAAAAGAATTACATAATAGAGACTGATCAGCATGGTGGCTCATGACTGTAATGCCAGCATGGTGGAAGCCCAAAGGGGTGGATCACTTGAGGTCAGGAGTTTGAGACCAGCCTGGCCAACATGATGAAACCCTGTTTTACTAGAAATATGAAAAAGCCAGCGTGGTGGTTCGTGTCTGAAGTCCCAGCTACTCAGGAAGCTGAAGAAGGAGAATTGCTTAAATCTGGGAGACAGTGGTTGCAGTGAACTAAGATCACCCCACTGCACTCCAGGCTGGACAACAGAGAGAGACTTTGTCTCAAATAATAATAATAGCAGCAACAACAACAACATAATGCAGATCTACATTAATTAAAAATTTCTGGCATCCACGGCAAAGAAAGAAACCTAATAGCACTTTTAAAATCAATACAAGAAAGTTTATAAGCTGGCCAGCAGGAAAAGATTTTTGGGAAATTAATTTAGGTCATTAATTTTTTAAGACAAATTTGATGTTACTTTTTATTGAGCAATATTTAGTTAAAATATTAAATGATGAATTCAAAATAAAGTTGTATTTTTGATTAATTTAAACTAAAAGCAATTTTCTTTTTAATTCCCATTTTTATGCATTTTTACATAGTTAATGTTCTACTCTGTATGATCGTTCTGTATTTCAATAAACATATAATATTTCTCCATATGATTATATACCTTAAATATCATTTTAAATAGTTACTACCTAATTTTATTGATGTGAGTTTTGGTATACACACAGTTTTCTCATATTCAGGATTTAGGTTGTCATTTTTTTAGTGAACTTTTTAGACAAAAATATTAGTATTTTTAACTATTTCCCAAGGGAAACTTGTATTAGGGTTACTAAATCAATGAATAAGAACCTTGGAATAACAAATTCTCTTTGGAGATGTGATAGCAGTCAACATTGTCACCACCAGTATACGTGATTTCTTTCTCACTATAGCCTCTCCAAACTTGAATATTATCTAAAATAATATTTAATTTGGAAGTCTACAAGTGCTGTAATATTATTTCTTGCCTTACATTTTTGATTACCAGACGTTTTTATTTTAGATATTAGATGTAAATAGATGATTCTAATTATGATCCAGAAAAAAAACTGTGCGATGCTTGAAAGGGTAAATTGATATCAACCATACTGCTTTAAAAAAATTCTAAGAGGGCAGCTATTTTGACTCAACCTATTTGAGGCCATTGTGCTAAGCACTTTTCTCACCACAACCCTGTGGGATAGCTTTTATGTATATTTTCGAGATTAGGAGAATGAGTATCTGAGAGGTATAGCTATCAAACCACAAAGGTGTAGTTCAGAGGCTA